CACACACACGGCAGCCCTCTTGCTACCTTCACTAATGCCAGAAGTCAGCTTCATATGTGTCGCTATGGAAACCCAAAGGAGCTGCTATGGTATCAGAGAGTCTGAATTGCTTTAGTGTCTAATGGCAGGTGGCAGCTAAGCTGGAAATCATTCTGGTTACTTCTGGCTGCAGCATGCTATGCTTAGTTTAACGATATTTGGAATACACTACGCACATGACTGCTTTTAAATTCTGTATTCTCAGATATTGCATTTTGGTATGTACAATTTCGTGCATAAATTTAAGAAAAAATGCAACCAAACGTACCAGTAACAGAGCTTACAGTTCACATTTAAATACCTATGTGAGCCATTCTACACTGCTTCATTTTGCATACTATTTGAAGCAGCTGAAGTAAAAGGAAGTGTCTCTAATTTGAAATGAAAAGACAGCATGCAAAGTAATGTGCTTAAGGGAAGCAGTAAGAGGAAGTCCAGTTAAATGTGTGTAAAAGTCTTGCTGGAAAATCTGACATTTTGCAGCCTCTGCTCCTGGAGTCTAATAACCCCAGCAGAGGATAAACAAACAATAGAGAGTAGACTGTAACTCTATTCCCACGTACATCTTCAATTTCACACCACTCTCTTTCTGTGGAAACTGAGGATCCATTACCAGGCATGATTTTTATGTCACTGTTTTCATTGAAAAGGGATCCAGAGTAAGCTGAGGACACTGTTGTTGTATAAACAATAGGGAGGGTTTTTGCGTGTGTTGAGATTATTTAGGCTTTTTAATGTCTGGTTGAAGGGAGATGACTTTATTTGTGAAAAAATAACTGATGGCCAAGAAAGAAAGAAAAACATTTAATGTTAATAATGCAAATTATCACTGATTTGTCAGTTCTAAAGTAAAGATTAGTTCATGGGTGTGGCTCCTTGAATGGGAAGATTTGCTTGCTTCTGTCGATCTCAGTCTAATGTTACCCACAGCTTGATTAGACAGCATTTAAGAAACAAGAAACAAGATATCAGTTTTTTGGTGGACCAAAAAATACAAAGTTAAAATATCAGTATGGATGCAGTGAAAATAATAATAGTTGCACCTTCTTATCTCTTCAGCATCTAACCAGCAACACTTAGGCAGAGCCTCACAGTTGTTCTGTTTTAGGGAGTAGTACTTTTTTGTCAAAAATAACTGCAACAGCACAAGACTGTTCTGAGGAAACTGAAACCAGAGGAACAGTGAAAACACCTTTCACACACTGCTTGTTTGTAGCATCTCACCTTGCTCATACGGAGATACATGTAGATTCATGTCAATTCATGCACTGAGAATGAGTGATATTGAACATCAAAGTCATTTAAAATCGATGGATGCATCAACCTTTGCTTGTCACTGGTTGCAATCATTATCTACAGGTAGCTATACCCAGCAGATGCCAACATGCACCTAAAATCTCCGGCAGAACGCTTTCATTTCAATGGTGGAAAGATCGGGAAATGGTTTTTTAATAGGCAACTTCATGTCACATTTCAAACAACACATTTCAAGCCACTGGAGTTTTGAGGTCAAAGATGAGCAAGGGGGTCTGTTTTTCAAACAGGCAAATGCTATAAACAGCAGAATCAGGTTCATGTTTCAGACACGCAGGGGCAGATAGGGGCAAAGCTTAAACATGTGGGAGAGTAGAGGAAAGACACATGCAGGTATCGTATGAGCATGTAGGAGGGGCCGAAAAAAAGCCCTTCAATGTCCACTGATGACATGACTTTTGGCCAGTGGGTGAAGAAAAGCTGCTCAAACCCCAAGAAGCAACAAGGACTGAAGAAGCTTGAGATTAGGAGATGCATAATGTCATAACCACATTCCCTGAGTTGTAGGAGACATGCAGCATTCCCCCTTGTTTGAAAATTGACACAGAGAGAGTCGCTGTACTCACTGGTTTCCCATTCCTGTGATGTGCAGTGGACAGAAGAAATACACACACATACACACGACGACAGTTAAACGTGACAACATGACATGTAGTTACAAGATTGAGCGCAAAACTTACTGCAGTGGTGTTAAAATGTTCGGAAACACTTGCAAATATAATCACACAGACACAGAATCCAGAATACAAACGGACAAAGTAATGCAACTGAAGAAAAACAGTGTAAAAAAAAAAAACAAAAGGTAAAGGTTTCATTATAAACTGAGCTCTGCACATCTCTGGACAAATTCACTTAATTTCTCTAAATCGGTTGCTCTTTTATCTCTACATTTGAAAACAAACTAACACACTTACAAGCTGGTTCTCTTTCATCTTTAAACACTGCCTAATATTGATTTTGGCTCCAGATTACTACGATTATGTCATATCTCAGCAGACAATCCGTGGCAGGGCTCCAACAATGTGAGGAACTCTGTTGCCAAGTTAAAAACAAAAAAATCCAGGTCAATGATGCACGTCGACTGCATTCCTGCTAAAGCAGATTCGCTACAATGGAAGCCAAATTTTTTTTGAAATGGTTTGTCTGAACCATTTGTTTTCAGTTCTTTTTCAGTCATGCATATCTGAACTTGTAATGATTTCAAATGATTTCAGAACTGCAGACGGTAGGAAAATGATGCTTAATCTGAAATCTGAAGACTAAAGCTGAGCGGTCTTTTTTGCCTGTTTTCGGTCACATTTCATAGTTTAACTCCCCAACATTTGTTCACCTTAAAAGGTGGAGTCTGCATTTCTAGGTGGGAATCTTTCTGCCAGATTTACTGCCCCTCTGGTTCCCTCTTGTCCCCTTTTGTCATGTGCATGAGTACAAACGTGCACGAGCTCAAACGTGCAGGACATGCTGGGACAGCGTTGTATGATCGATCAAAGCCCCTTGGTTTGTTTCCAGCTTTCAGAGTCAGGTCTGTGTACAAACAGCAGATATGTCGTTCAGTACACAAAATGGAGAGCTAGCGGAGCATCATTTGCTGAATTTGACAAAAAGCCTATCAGACTAATATTGCATACTCCACCTTTAAAAGCTCTGCTGTTTCTTACACATTTGTAGACAAGCAGAGATGTGCGCATCGAACAGCGTGAAATGCAGAAGAAGCCGACACAACAACACTCCATTCACATATTTCGTACGACAACAACAAAACAGATTCATTAGGTCAAACAGTTGAACTGACAAACATTCAAGGCCTCCGCAGAGGTGGGCGGCCGCTTTGCTTCCTGGCGTGCCAGTCGCAACATGTTTAAAAGCAGAAAGAGAGCAGAGAAAAGTCAATTTCCGATCCACTGTTTATTAACTTATGTCTGCTACCATTACCTATCATTGGATCTGGACAACAGATGCCATGGTTCCTATCCAAAAGTGCATTATCAATCAACCCTGTGCACCCACTGTCTGGCTGGCAAACACACAGAGATTTGCTAACAGCAGTCTGATTGGTCAACTGGTGTCAATGACGCACAGCAAATCTCCTCTCAACGTGAGCTTATTAATTGATAAGCAGACTTCTCCTTACAGTCTGAGAGGGTGTGTGTGTGTGGTTGGAGAGGTGAGAGTGAAACAGAAAGAGGTCAGGAAATGAGAAGAAATGAGGGAAAGAGTAAAAAAAAAAATAATACTTGAAGCACTTGCCTTGAAGGGGAGAAAATTATGAGAAGTATTTTTGCTTTAAATACCAATAACACAGCCAGGAGTTATTTCTGGACAGTCTGTCAGTTTTAAAACTTGACTCATGAATTCAGATAACAGTCAAGTTATACTGACTCCTATGGAAGAAGACAAAGATATCACTTTGGGCTCTGGCATATTCCATGTCACTATCTGATCTTCCAGCTTCAGTTACATAGAGGTCTGTGAATGAGAGAGTGCATATAACCGTATTATCTTCAGCTGCCTGCCCTGTAGTAAAACCAAGTGTCTACATGAGCACGTCCCTCTAAAGTCCGGACAACGCAAATGCAGCTACAGCGTCCTTTAACGACAGCTAACACTGATAAATGTTGTTTGGAGGGGGGAAAAAGGCGCTGCCATGTCTGTCTGGCTTTTCTCCCGGAGTCAAAGTTCGTGTCACGACGGAGCAGCGGCGGCGCTTCCTTACCTGATTAGTGTCAGTCAACGAGGTGCTGTCCGCCTGTCCGTTCGTCCGGCTCGGGGCTCTCTGTCCGTCTCTGAATCTCAACTCCGCAGCCTCAGCGAGCAGCGCTCCGCCTGACGTCACCTCAGGGCAGGACGGCGGCGGACCAATCAGCGGCCGAGCTGTGGCGCACACAGGTGCACGAGGCCGCTGCGCTGATGGTCACCTGCCTCCAGCGTGACCCCCCCAAAGTACTGTACTGTACTGTACTGTAGTGTGGGGACAGGTGAGCTGCTGCTGCTGCTGGTGTACTGTTCCACTCACTGTACCTGCGATAAATCAGCCCTGCTGAGCGCTCACACAGGCTCATGGGTTTCACCTGAACAGAGGAGGAGGAGGTGGGCCACATGGGGGTGGAGTCAAACACTCAGTTCTGCTGAATTTTTATGCTCCAGTGTGTGACTTTTCTGCATCAGTTTAGGGTAAACGTGTCTTTGTTTGTATAAAATCCAGGCACCAGGTGAATATTCTAAATACAATGACATACACTGTAAAAAATTAAGTCTAGCAAAAACTTTTTTTTTTTAAATTGTGTTTTTTTAAATGTTTTTTTTTTTTTAATTAATTGTTAAAGATTTTCCTGTTTTGTTAAATTACAGATAACACCCAGTAAAATCGTGAGGAAAAAAAATTCATTTACACGTTCACCCTTTAAAAAAATACACCAAAACTGTTAATAATGCCTAAAAAAATCTGTATTTTTGCAAGTTGTTTTTTTTTTTTTTTTTTTAATTATGTTTCACTGTAAAATTGCACCTTTTTTCTGTATATAAGATTTTTTTTTTTTTTTTTTACAGAACATTACACATATTTTAGAATCAAAACATAGTTCTGCATTTTTAGCTATTCTCTTACAGATTTTCCATAGTTGTTTACTTGCTGATAATATCTTGTTAAATCATAGAAAAAGTAATATTAATTTACATTATGACGGTAAAAACAAGAGGCCAAAACTATATATCCACTTGAAAAAACACTTTCTTTACAAATATATATTTTTTGTTCTTTTGGAATGTGTAATAATACAATTATACTGCCTAACTGTGTTGAAATTAGCTAAAAATCTATATATTACAGATGTTTGGTTGATTTTTTTTTTTTTTTTTTTACAGTTGTTGAATGTTACAGTCTTCCACCGTTTATTTATTTATTTGTTTGTTTATTTGTTTATTTGTTGACTGAATCCTTGCTGTCTGATTTTTATTGTCTGGGTAAATTACAGATAAACAGTAAAATCATAGAAAAAAAAAACTTCATTAGCACATTACCTCTAAAAAACAGGCAAAAACTGCGAATCACCAGAAACCATCAAATGACTCTATTATTTTACAGATGTTTTCTGTTTTGTTAAATTACAGATACTATCTAGTAAGATCACAGAAAAAAGATTATTTATGCACGTTTTGCCGGCAAAAACAACAGTAACAGTTACAAGTAATTTGTTCTTCTACAATGTGTGGCCATAAAATTACACTGTTTTATTGTATTTCATTATTCTTATTTTTTTGTTTTGCTGATATTTTCCTTTATTTTAACAGTTTTCACAGTTTTTGAACGTTAACGTGTTTCAGCATATTTTTTCTGGCACCCTTGCTGCCAGATTTTCACAGTTTATTTTTAACAGGTTCTCAGACATTCTGTATTGCTTTCAAATTTGCTGAACCAAAATATAAAGACAGTATGCAAAATTATCTTCTTTCCTTACTTAGAGGAAACATTCCAAGTCTCATTTCTATTTTTGCTAAGGGATAAATTCAGCCAATTCTGCACAAAGCACTTTTTTAACTGTTCAACTCGTGCCACATTCTCAACCACATCCAGTTCAGGTATGACTTCAAAGGACAATGAACAGAAAGAGTGACCAGAGCACAGAACACAGTTCAGATGACATGATGCTTCAAGAAAAAGACAAGAACAGGCTACTGACATCCTGGATGCTGACATGTGAGGTAGGGCCATAGCCAGACACTTGAATGTTCACTTTAAACTCCACCATTTATTGTTTAAGAAATTGACTGCATGTTACAACAGACAATCTGCCACATGATGCTGTGGATGGACGTGCCAGACAACGTGATCCTGTTCCAGAAAACGTCCACTAACTTCGCCAAGCCCTTCAGAAAGAGTGGGCCAACATTCATCAAGCAGCACTGACAACCTTATTGACTCTATGCATCACCGATGTGTGAGATTCATCAGTGAATAGGGCCGTCCTCCATCTCCATAAACTTGAGTGGTTGCCCACTGGAGCCGATTACGACATAATTCTGCCGTTAAATCAAGGCCTTGGTGTGGGCGAGGAAGCCTCTGCCTCAAGCAATTTCTCACAGATTGAGCAGATATACCAACAACTTCATCAGCAGTCTTTGCTGATCGCAAACCATTTCACAGATGGACGGGCCGGATGTTATGACGCTGGGCTCAGGTGGTGACATGTGGTCTGCATTCATGTGGCAGATTGTCTGTCTGAAACAGCTCCTTGGATGACAAATGGTGAAGTCGTGGATATTCAAGTGTCTGACGATGGCCCCAGTTGATATGCCAGCATCCACCATACAGCCTGTTCTTATCTTTCTCTCGTCATCTGTATCATCGTGTCATTTAAATAAAAGTGCTTTTTAAAGTGGCCTTTTATAGTCACTGGTCATTCATGGAAGTTTAAAGTCACACCTGACTAGGCTGTGGATGGTTGAGAAAACAGAATAGTTTTCTAACCATAACAATAGTAATGACATTTTCAAGTTTTTTTTCTCTAAGTCAAAAAGAAGAGTGCATGCTGCATTTATATTTCTGTTCAGTGTAATTCATTTATAAACCTCTTGACTTTTAGAGATCATGTTCTTAAAGATTTCTGCTTGTGTTTAGCCCTCTCTGCACATTTAGATCCATGTTTGAGATGCTGAAGAAAACATACTCACCCCATCACAGGTGTCCTTAGGTCTGTGAGTAACTAAACAGGAAAGCAGTTTTTTCAAAATAAAAGTCATTTGCTTCTGTCATGTTTGTACTGGGTGGTCAACATCCAGTGCACGTCTTCTGAGAACAGTGGGGACATATCCTGTTTACATTTGTGGAACAAAGAGAGAGAAGCTTGTTAAAGTAGTTGTGACCAAACATCAGTTGCTGTGGCTACTGGTAGAGAAGAAAGTAGTGGTAGGTAGTAGCTGCAAACCTAATTGATCTTAATTTAATCAATGTGGCCAAATTGTGTTTGATCCCAAAAAGGTTGCTTTAGCCTATAGACCTTTAATTGCAAAATACATTTTTAGGCTCATTCATTCATTTACTTAAAGTGTTTATATTCAATCCTTGAAATAAATCAGAAGTTTTACATATAAAGCAACAATACCACAGTTTAATGCAATACCCAATAACAAGTCATGCTTTCAAAATGTTACTTCAGCGAAACTAGAAATGTATTAGCATCAAAATAAACTGAACGTACTAAACAGTATAGGTGTAGGTTTCGATGGGCTGGGAGGAAGGAACCAGGGAATAAGGCCCCCTGAATATTTAGAACATGTTCATCTGTCCACCCCAGTAAAAACAAATACCACATTTAAAGAGGTTACATCACCAAACAAAAGACACAGAAGAGGACAGGAGAGAAATGCCTGCCAGTAAATGTGTGTTGACTCAGCAAGGATAATATTTCATGAAAAAAGCTGATCTACAGGAGAAATAACATTTGAAAGCAATGCAGGATGCCTGAGAACCTTCCTGCACATTACTGGATTACATTTAGAAATGTCTCTTGGTGCCTAAATCTTGTGTTTTCCTTTAAAGACAAACTGACCTACCATAAAAAGATGCGGAAAACACAAATTGCATTTGCAAGTTGCACTTTGCGCAAAAATGCACCAGAATGCAGGAAATTAGGTGGTTTGTGTTCAAACGTCAATGGTGCAGGACCTCCAGGCCCCTCAATGAATTTGTCTCCCACAGTGTTTGAATGAAACCTATACTCATGCTAAACAGTAGCTCATTATGCAAAATTTCAAAATTATGTGAGTGGTTATATTCATTTATTCATTCGTTCATTAATGTGCATATCTTTGTTCAGATGGTAAAAGTGGAAAATAAATGCTTGTACTGCTGGGTAGCTTGTGAATTTCCACATGAGGATTCATTGGTGGTTTATCTGGTAAATGATACGCTGACTCTTCAACTGATGGTTCACCTCAGGTTTTTATTCATGTAGGCTACATCAGGACAAGTGAGTACTTATTTTGTGTATTATTTTATAAATGAATAAACCCCAAATCAAATTTAACTCAGTTGTGGTGTAACTTTAATAGAAGCCCACACAAATGACCTCTCCGTGTCCATCCACCCTGTAGTTTCCGTTGTAGGTGACACTGGATTTGTGCAGTGTCAGCTTGTGGTGGTCTAGAGCTCCATCTAGCGGATTACATGATCCTAAACATGCAAAGCCAAGGTCACGGCCAGGTTAAAAAAAAATCCATCTGGAATTGAAATAAGTGCACTAGGGCAGCTGTGGGCGTTGTGCATCAATGCAGGTGCACTTTCATACGGTTCAAGGGTGTGCTAAAAGGGTCGTCTTCTTCTGTGATGGATATTCTTTCTCTTTAACGTTGCATTCTTTCCAAGGCTGCTGAAGCATTCATGGACTGACACTACCCAACCTTGCATCCAAACAAAAGGATGACTCATCTGTAAAGTGCGTTAATTTTCTTGGAATTTATTTTTAGTTGAGACGTCAGACCTTTATGAAGATATGAGACAAATTCACTTCACTGGCACTAAGTAGCTTAGGCAGTGGTTTTCTTCATTTTCATGACACGCATACCAGGACCAGTGTAAGTCATAACTTTAATAAATGAAGGTTGCATCCAGCGGTGGAAGAATTGTTCAAACACTTTCCTTAAGTAAAAGTACCATTACAGCAATGTAGCAGTAGTCCACGACAAGTCCTGCATTAAAAATTCCATTTACATAAGTATTGGCAGCAATTTGTAGTTAAAGTATTAATGTAAAAGTGCTGGTTTGATTCCTCTGATGGATTTTTTATTATATAAGACATCATGAGATTATTTATTCTGAAACATTTGTGTGTTGCAGCATGTTACTGTTGTGGCTA